CAAGCCAATGGATCAATTTCATATATATCAACTAGGACAAATAGTTGCCCTCCAAACACCTAAAGAAACCAAAATCCTCAACTACTGTCCTCCCCAATAATAAATTGTGGTCCCCAAAAGGAATCCATCTTTGGCCCAAATACTATTCCTTATATTACATAAATGAACATGCCCTTTGGCTTTAAGGAACAACAAAAAAATTGTTTGCACGATGACACAAACATCATACATCAAAGCAAAAAACACAACAATCATTAGAAAAAAACTCACAAACTTTCAAAGTATTAGTAAAATGCGTTTCAAGACAACAAACTCGATCATAAACACGAGGCAAGGGACATCTCTCTAAATTTCCATTGAATCCTCGATCTAAAAGAAAAACGTGTGTACAGCATTTGTCTCATTAAACCAATAACACCCTTTAATGATTATCTCATGAAACTCCTTCCTCGAGACTAACAATTCAAGAAAACCTAAAATGGAACACTCACAATCCAAATCTTAACAAGAAGCTCGCAAAATCTTCTATTCCTGTATACTATTCCCTCAGATTCAAGACTCCAACATTGACACTTGCAACATGTATTTTGCCAAATGGTGCACTCACACCTAAAATATGTAATAATATTCTGGAAAATTCCCCTGAAAGCAACTACACATTTATTAATCCAAAAAGAATACTGCGAACAATGACCGCACTCATAAGCTGGAGTCTTGCAAACCCTTGCTTTAATAATCTAGGATTCTTCCTCTACCATGACATGTACATATTTGAATAGTGGTTATCACAAGAAATTCTCATGGAAAACAAAGACACTTTACTTTAATTCTGATGTTAATACGACAAACCTCAAGATAACCTAAGTTCCCACCCTAATACAACTATCAAAAATTACCCTATAGTCACCTAAAGAAATAAGCCAATATAACAAACGTTCCCCAGAAATGTACTACTATTGTAAATTTTGATGTAGTTGCAAACATAATGATATGTATTATTAATGTAAATTTTAATTATTAATGTAATTATTATTAATATAATATTATAAGTAGTAGCATTAAAATATCATATTGAAATGTTAATATTAGCAGATAATTTATCTACTGTATAATATTCTAATCTAACGTTAACAAGTATTGTATTCTGGCCAATGACCCCATCTCGATCAGGTTTTGTTCAATTTTCCTCTGTCCTTTGAGCAAATCTAGATGCCCTTGTTTGCTCGCTGAACTAGTAATATAACTTGGCTCTCTCCACCAAGGCATTCATATGACTCGTCATACACGAATAATAATAATAATAATAATAATAATAATATTATTATTATTATTATTATTATTATTATTATTATTATTAATTATATTATTATTATCCAATGTTTTCGGAGCACTTTCTGAATCTGAAAAAATGATGTATTGAGACATTTTACCTTCTATTGACTTTTCAATAGCTTCATCCAATGCTTTACACTCTGCAGTAAAAGTTAAAGCATAATCTATGGCTTTGTAAGATGGCATATATTCTTCATTAGCACACCATGAAGCAAAACCAACTTCCAGGCATTCATTTATTTTTAAACCATCAGTAAAAATATACACTGTTTTTGTTTGTTTGTTTTGTTTTTTGTGTGCATCATTCACTGCTCACACGAGAAATCAATTTTTAGTTTGAAGAATGAAAACTGAAATTAACCAAGATATTTGAAGTAAATATATGATCTTATAATCACATGATTGAGTAAATGAATGTCTTGATAGCACTTTAGAATTAGGGTTTTTTTATATATGTATTGATCCGCCAAATTCATTATTGATTCTGAATCATTTACAATAGTGGACTAGCATCTGAACACACTTTCATTTTTAACAGGGAATAACTTTCAAATCTGCTAACAATACGTTTATTTGGGTGCTTTTCCTCTACTCCATGATAAGTCTCAAGTATTCTGAATTTTCTGTAACTTTTCAAATGTTGCATCTGCACAAGGGAACATCTAAAATCCCTCCATAATACTCTTTTCTGAATCTAATTAATACAAAATAAACTAATAATACAGAAGTAGAAGTAGAAGTACTCAGTATACTCGACTTATATGTTAAGTGGATAAATTATCTATCCAAGACTTTCCCTTATGGAAACCAAATTGACTTTTTGGTAATATCCCATTTCTCTTACATCACCATTCAAAGCCTTCCCTTATCAGAAGTGATAGAAAACTTAAACACACTAACACTAACTGTTGTCCTTTGGACAACATGACAGAGTAATATTATGCTTCACTGACTTCGGGCAATGTGAGACATAATAATATTATGCTTCACTGTACATTGGTTCACTCAACAACTAGATAGTATATGCGTTCCAGATTTCACCCTAGCTAGTGACTCACCCACACAAGTAGTCACATCACCTCCTGTTGATGGTGGTTCTTGCATCTTTGTTAAAAATAATATTCACTATGTATCAATCACAGAATACTCCTCTCTCTTAAAAGTTAAAAGACTTTTAACTATCTACCATAAATTTACCAAAATAAAGAACTTATATTTAATGTGCATATGACAGTCCCACAGAAAACACATTTGTTATTAAAAAAACTTGAAATTGTTCTTGTTAAACTTAAAAAAGAGGCAGAAAAATTATATTATGTGGTCACATCAACTCTCTTTGAAAATCAAATAATTGAGAACTATTAAACAATTTACTAAAATATTTCAGCTTACATACAATTACAAATCAACCTACCAAAAAACAAAATAGAAAAAAAGAAAAAACAAAAGGGTGGGGTGGGGTGGGGAGGGGGGACGGGACGGCTTAGACCTGAGTGGAAAACCAAACATCTCTTTAGGCGACTCTATTGTAATATTGAAGATGCAGAAGGAAAGTTATGACTAATTTATCGGTTTATTAACAGCAATGCAACAATAATTATTATTTAATGAAAGATGGCTGAGAGAGAAATCAAAAACATATATTGTGAAACATTACCGCAAAGATCTTCATTTTTATAACAATAATAATGAAAATTATTATGGAATCTGATTATTAAGCAAACTCAACCATAAATAAGTAGTAAATTAATAATTATTGAAAATAAGTAATAAAAAATAATAAAATACAATTTCTTTAAAATGACAAAAAAACTGACCTTTGAATAAATACTCAAAGTGATAATTTACCGAGAGATAGGTGTTTGTCCTTTTCAATGCAGTATGTAGCTGCAGTACATAGAAGAGTAACAAGGACAGTATAAGTGCTCTCTCTTTCTTCCAATCAAAATTAGCCACATTCTCCCAGCTTGAAATCGGAAGACACGTGACCATGGGTCGCTAAAAATGAAAGGGATACCAAAGGTTTTTCTCGCACTGCCACATTGCCAAAATAAGAGGTAGTGCTTCCAGACATAGGTTGTGAGTTACGATAAAGGCCCAGCAGAACTGCCCACTTACATTTGTAACAGCTCCTTAGAGATAGGAATCTTTTCAGAAATTCTGAAAAAAGGCAAAAGTTAAGCCACCATTCAAAAAAGGCAACACTCATGACTTATAGACCAAAATCCTTACTATCTGGATCTTCAAAAATTCTAGAAAATGTTTTCAATGATAGATTCAAAAGTTTTCTTAATGCAAATAACACACTGTCAGAGGCCAATATGGATTCAGAAATGTCAGAACTACAGACTCTCTATCTTCACCTTGCTACATGCTATACTTGTTTGTCTAGATGAGAAAGAAATCCCCATCGGTTTGTTTCTAGATTTATCAAAAGCATCTGACATTACTGACCATACCATAGTATTATAAAAATTGAAAACTTGGAAGATTTAAAAGCATTGCAAATGGCTTAAATCTTACCTTTCAAATCATTGTCAAGTAGTCACAATCGTGTTAGAGATAAAAAGATCTCTAGCCATTTTTCCCAAGAAGAAGAATAAATTATTGTGTACCCCCCCCCCCCGGATCAATCTTAGGACCAGTGTTTCTTTTATATAAAATGACATGGCCCTGACTCTACAAAACAATGAAATAGTGCCATTTGCAGATGATCCAAACTTTTCTCAAGCAAATACCCAACAAACTACAAAAAGAAGCACAAACAGTTCTAGAGGCACTAGTAAAATGGATCCATGAAAACAAACTAGTCATAAACACCAGTAAAACTATCTCCCAAAACTTCAAGATTCAAGGAAAGCTAACAGCACAAATGGTCATAAAAGAATATCCATATAAAAATACCCAAAAAAACACCTTACCTTAAATGGAACTCTCACATCACAAATTTAAATAACAAGCTTACCAAGTCATGTATTGCTATCTTATGTCAATTCCTAACGCTATGAACAGTGTACTTTGTAAATGTTCATTCACATCTACAAAATGGAAACATAGTTTGGGGAAATTCCCCAGAAAGAATTCACACTTTTAACACCCAAAACAAATATTGAGAATACTGACAAACTCACAAGTACCACTGCTCAAAAAATTTCAAATCCTACCCCTCTCATGCATATACGTATTTGAAATAGTAATCTTGACAAAGAAGACACCCATGTGAAACAAGGATGCATTACTCTAAACGCCAAAGTTCCTAACTATCTTTCTAGACAAAAAAAAAAATCTGTACGTCCCTCAGTGAAATTTCCCTTTCAAAAACATTCCCTTGTAGAAGGCACTACACTATAGATCAAACTGCCTAATGAATTTAAAAACAAAATCACAATACACACATTCAAACATAAACTGAAAGCTCTTCTTTTAAACTATACATTTTACAGTACAAAAGAATACATCATTAACACACAGCTACATGAATATAAACTACTAATTACTTTGCATGTTCTCTTTCATGTTGGACATCCCTAAAAATGATTTTTGGGCCATAAGGATGGATCCAGCCCAGGAATCAAGCTCATTTGAAGACTATTTTTTTCCCTCTCTTTTTTATTATTAATGTTTTTCATTTTAGTATCCTTACATTGTCACTTATAAAATCAATATGCATTGTATTGTATTATATTATTTTCTGTTACAAATTACATGAAAATTTTCTGTATTGTATTTAGAACCAAATTTGTAGTTTTTTGATATGTCTTTATTGGTTATGGTTATGTACATATACGGTTACTTATATGGTTATGTACATATCTTGACTTGTTATGCATGGCTAATGCTTTATTTATGTGACAAATATATTATTATTATTACAATTGCAATGCCATGACATGGAACTTTGAGATACTCAGAGTAACTTCTCATAGTTGGGCATTTTCTCTAGGCATATGGAATGCTATTTTCGATTGTCAAATTTGTGTTGATGAATTAACTTAATAGATGGATTAATATTTATGCCTAATATGCTGTTAGGTAACGAGTTTTACTAGTGATGGCTGAAATGTGTTAATATGGGCAGAAATAGATGTATTACAGTTTTACGTAAATATTATCAATGTGAGCAAGTACATGCTGTTGAAGCCCCACTATTTAAATGTACAATCTCAATTCAAATTAAAGAAAACAGCTCATGAAATGTACCAACAAATCAACTAGTTCATATGCATACAAGCAAAAAGTGCTTCTTATATCAATGAACAGGGTTGAATGAAGATTAAAGTACAGTATTCTTTAACAACACTATGTTCAATGTATATTTAAGTTAATAGCAAAACCTATCTAAGGCCAGCTCCTTCATGACAACAGAAGACACAATTCACTTAAAATAAACATGATTTAATCACATACTAAAATCAATTAAAAATTGAAATAATATTAAACAAAAATAAACAAATACCTAATGATATTAAAGCCAAACCAAACTTTTGTGATCACTAAGATATGGGGCAATAATGAGTACATTTAAATGGGGCCTGAAGTTCCAGTCCAACTTTGGCATGGATATTTAAGTGTTATAGAATGGCTGGCTTTCCCATCATCACACAATATCTTTTAAGAATATCCTTTCATTTTGTCACACGGTATAGCACAGGGGCACTTGTGTGAGGTCTATTGCACTGAGATGGTGCCATTCCTTATACTTTTTACTTCCCAATGTAGTATCATGAGAGACCAAAACCACTCCTATTCGGTTGTCCATAAAGTGAGTAATGCTGAAGAGAGGGGGAGTAGGTTAGAGGCAGCATTATGATGCGTTACATAGGGGGTAGAGGGGTCAAAGTGTAGTATTACGTCATGCTGGCATTTCTTTTTGTAATTTTTTCTCAACTACTTTCAACTATCCCCTTCTTAACTACAACTATACTTGTCTCCACTTTAATCACAGTTTAAGTGTACATTAGCACATGTTATTGAAGATTATGTAATTGGCAAGGTAATTTTATTTCTTAAAATTTTACATGTAAGGCTAAGCATAATTTTCACCCTAATACAACATTTAGTAGCATTTTTCAATAATTCATTTACTGGAAATGAGACCTTGATATTTCAAGAATGTTAGAAAGGGTGATGTGGAAATATTACCCTTTATTTTTTGTGACAATCACTCTTCTTTTGAATTCTCTGATCCTCTAGCATGCAAAACTGCACAAATCATAGAATTTCTATGACTGCTGTATGTTTGTTTTCCAAAGAGCTCTCACTTAGGAGTGTTTGATAGAATAAAAATATCATTTGGAAACAATGGAATCTCATGATAATACTAATTCACAAAGGTGAGAGATATCAGAAGCACAGAAGATCAAGAAACAATTGCAGAAGATTTAAAATTACACAGCTGTTAAAAAAAATCATCTTTGATTATGAATACTTAGTGTACATTGTACAAATTCCTTAAAATACTTTTTAATGACAACTCACAATTTAATAATTAATAAGAAAAGCACCTTGTGAAGTAATTTGTTTATTTAACAAAAGATTTGATAAAATTTCACAAACAGTATACTACAAAGATAGCTACAAAATTATAACAAATACTGTCATTCTTACATAGTTCTTTGCTAAATGTTTTTAATTTGTTGGGAGATGTGCACTAAATGTAGCTGAAATATGTAATTACAAACCAATAAAAGAAACTCTATTATTTTACTGGCATTATGCAGAAATAGCTCTCATCTTCCTCTTCCTCATATCACCGTCATCTTCTTCATCTTCATCACTATCACTTGCTTCTTCCAAATCAGATGCTAGTTCAGGAAGCAATGCTGCCAAATTAATTTTAAATTTTTCAACAGATGGTGCACTACAAATTAACACTTTCGTAATGAATGGTCCTTTCCTCTTTGGCCGGACACTGTGGATATCTCTGAGCACATTTTGCAAGTTTTCCTGTAAGTGCTCTATTTCCATATCCAACTGCCAAACAAAAATAACAAACATTTTTAGATTGCTTACATTTCAGGACCTTTCAATATTTCTATTTATTAGGATACGGTTTGAAATTTACTTCAATAATAAACCAAGAAAATGGTATTCCAAAATATTAATTTATTAAACAAATTTTCAACTCATTTTTTGAGAAACTTTCATTATTAGTGGTTTTCCAAACAAGAACATACAACTTGAACAAAACAGTATACTCGTAGAGTTGAGTTGCACTGTACTGTGCGAAAGATCAATATACAAAATAACAGTGTCCAATTTTAGACAACATTTAATACATTCTGCTTCTATATTAGCAGAATAAATAACAGCACAAATGAAAGCTATTGATTTTTTAAAGAAATTTTTAAGCATGCTTTTATGGGACCTTAAGGAAAATGGTGTCCCAGGAAGTGCAAATATGGGAAAAAGATTTTTTTCTCTGAAACTATGAGTACACTTTGATGTATTTAGATACACACAATCAATAAGGATTATAATATTCAATATTATATTATAATCAATATTACTAGGTCAAATAGAAATATGACCAAAATTTACATCAGAAATCAAATGCATGTTGATCGAAGCACAGTGAATTTTAAATGTCACAATGACACTTCCATCCACTGATCATAGCCTTTGACACAGCAACAATACACTCATTGTGGAATGAAGGGAGAAATAGTATTTCTACTGCAAGGAAAAAAAAGTGAAGTTAACATAATCTCAAACTCATAAAATGTTTGTTTTTTACAATTTGTAATAATTTCCAACTAATAATTTTTTGAAATTTATTTATTTATGAAACAGAAAGTGTTTCATGAAACTAATTTACAGTTAAAAACATATGGAGAATTTCATTCTTATATTTTGAGCTTTTAAAGAATGGGAAAAAATTACGTTTATTTTGGATTGAGAAAGGCATTCAGCGAATCCCGAGAAGAGTGGACGTGTTGCTTGCGATTCGCCGAGCGCCGAACATTCGGTGTTCGCCCTTACCACCGCGAGTCGTTCTTTAGGACACATCGAAGGGAGCGAACATTCGCCGAACCCCTAAGCTGTTCGGGACTGGGCGAGCAGTAGCTCGTTGCTAAGCTAATGCCGAATGTGTGGGGCCGTCTTTGGGCCTGTGTCACATGAGCGTTGCGTTTACGCGCGTCACCTAACGCTGATGACTGGTCACATTATGCGCGCCATAGATTAACACTATCTTATGCGAAAGGACAAACCAGCGCTCTTAGTTGCGTGCGTTGTGCCCACAGCAGAAGCAAGACGTTCAAGCTACACCGTAAGTCAAGATGAAGTGGGTTTTCTAGTTTTTAACGCGCGACGAGCTTCTACATGGTTTCGCGTAGTGTTAATCTACCACGCGCGTTAAATTTACTTGTGTGCGCATGCATCGACGCAGCTGGCGTCATTAGCGTTAGGTGACGCGCGTCACGCAACGCAACGCTCGTGTGGTTCCCACATTTTATTCGTCTTTCCATGCATATTGGCCAGATTTTCTACCCTTTTAAATACCTCCGTAATGTTATGAATTGAAAATTTGAATAGGCCTAGCTGCTTAATAATAATTTTCACTATATTTAAATCTAGTCTTCATGTAACATTTCATAACTCTATAATAACGCACCATTTCAATAATCTTTTTGTTACGGCCATTTTTAACGCGACAAGATGGTCAGAAAGTGCAGCGTAAGTGCCCGTTTTGCGCAGCATGAAGTGCTTTCCGCTTGGTGTTGTTGCAAGCAGATGTAAATTGCGGGAAAATTGAAATTATACCATCGTAAATGCGGGGAATTATAACATGAATATACGAAAACTGATGGGACCCACAAGAAAAGTAAATGCTGGGAAAACATAAAAGAGGAATTTTGCTGTAATTCAAATCAATTTATTAATCAATTACTTAATATTATTACCTTTCCAATATTAACTTTTATTAATCCAAAATCTTGCCAATGTTCATCCTTCTGGGCAGAGTAACGAATACCATCACGGAATCTTTTAATCATGCTTGTTAAGTCCACTCCCAAAGTACCTACACAAGGAACATTTAAAACAAAACAAAAAAATCAGTGAATCAATACTAAAATGAAAAATATTTATTTCAGTTCAAACACACTAAATCATCATAAATTATTTGCATTTAGTAATTACCTTCTGTTCTACAAAAATATCATTACTATAGAAAAGGGCTGGAAAAAACAATGATTTTTTTAAAATAAAGAATTCAGATTTTTTTGAATGAAAAATGATTTCTTAAAGTTGTATTAGATTTTTTACTTTAAACCAAAGTTGTTAAGTCATTTATTTATCTTTAATTACTATAAAAGTCAGCTTGTGACACCATCTATTAACATAATTTAGAAAAAAAGCATTCTTCATTCAAAGAAGTTTTACCATTTTTTCTGTGCAATACCACCCTAATCAAAAAGAGCGTTTGTTGAAAACAACTGAATTCATTGAAAAACTTATAACAATGTTAGACAGCTTTTGAAATATTCAATTCTACTTAATAGATGTTCAGTTATAAAAAAAGACTTGCATGCTTTCCTATTAACCCTTTAACAGACAGTGGGAAGTATGCTTCCCATTTAAAATGGAACTTTATCAATATACACATAAAGAAAAAGGCTAATATCATTAAAACTAGTCAATTAACTAGTGTATTCAACAGCTTTACAATTATAATTTTGTTCTTTAAATAAGTATTAATAAAATTCCATTTTTATTAATACTAATCATCTTTATGATTTACTTTAAGTGGCTTTAGCAAACATTTTAATTTAACTCTAGAATTGTGGACATCCACTGATGGGTCTGGAGGGTGGGGGCATGGGCCTCATAAGTTTTCATTTTCCTTCCATTATTTGGCCAAATTGATTTAAATATTTATTTATGTTTGAATTATGTAATTATTTAAACAACAATATTGTACATTATCATATATCCAGTATAAAAATAATACACAATATAATAAAAAATATGTTTATTTAACAAAAATCTATAATGGCCCCCTCCAAAATGATCAGCTGGATCTGCCCCAGTGGCCATTGTTCACACTTTGCCCCTTAGTGTATTACTACCACAAATTCCCTTCTCCTCGCAACAAATATTTAAAATACAAATATATTTTCAAATATTAGAAATAATAAATATTGATTTTAAAAGAAAAATTATTTGATTTAAATCACATCAGCCCTACTATAGAATTTCTTCAGAATAAAGTAATCTTCAAAGTTTAAGAAACCATTCTCAGCAGATGAAACCATGCTAAAGTTGAAATACAGTAGGAAACTGTAAGAATAATTGGGTGTTCTATCAGAGACTGGGTTATGCACTGTGTGATGTTCATTTGTCTGTCACCGCAGTAAAGTAACTATTTAAGTCATTTCTTATAAAAGTGAATTGGTAATTATGCAGTGGTTAGACTCAAGGTTGTTTATAGTGAACATGAGGGCCGAAGACCCAAGCCTTGCTGTGACTTGGATCAGGCAAGCTAAGTGAGAAAACTTGTCTTTGAAAGTAAAGTCACAAGGATATGGCAATGCGTCTTGCTGAAAATCTTTGGAGACAAGAATGTAAAAGATTAAATAGAAATCATTTTTAGGCAATAATAGAAGATATAAGGGAGTTGTACCCTAAACATGAATAAAAAATTCAATTTAAGATTTAATATCATTGTGTCGAATATTAATTGACTCCCTGTTCATTCCAGTTTCATAGTTCTTACGCTTAGGTTGGCAGTATGATTACAACTAGTGGGGGGGGGGGGGATGATGTCAGCAAACAATCCGCTGTCAGCAATCACACTCCGCTCATAACCAAGTCTGTGCTAGAATCCATGAATAATTTACCACTGCTAATCACATCATAAACTAAACTCTACCCTAAAATTGAAAAACCTCAATTTCTCTGCAAGATGGAAATTCCTTTTTACGTCATAAAAACAAACAAACAAAAAGAATAATACTCAACAGTTAATAATATCTAGACCTCAAGACTTGTGGGGCAGATTTATAAGCACCAGAGAACATGATATACATGGAAGACATATGTTTGCTGATAAACTTTTAAGTCACTTAAATAAGACAGAAAAATGTTGCAGGTTTACACATAACAAAAGAAGAGCAATGGAAGGAAAATTATATAAATCTCTGGTGATCAGGAGCCATAGAATCTCAGTAAAAAGAGCCTTGTATGATTGATTCCATCTCCTTGAAAGAATTAAATTTTACCTTGAATATCATGAAGAACAGAAAAGCATGTGGACCTGATTGCATTAACATGGAACTTCTAAAATACTCTGTCCCACTATGTGGATTTAAACAGCTTGATCTGTATAACGAATGCCGGAGAAGTTATAAAATACCCAATAGCTGGAAAATGTCAGGATAAAATTTTTAAAAAAGGTAAAAGAAATGAGAATGGAAATTACAGAGGTATTAGACTAATGAATGCTACTTATAAGGTATTTGCAAAACTAATCAATGCTCAGCTGAAAATTATTATAGGGGCCAAATTACTGGAAGAACAGTCAGGATTTAGGAAAGGATGCTCATGTAATGACAACATTTTTAGTATTAAAAGAATCTCAGAATAACAATGAGAAATCAATATGGAAATACATATAGCTATTATAGACTTCGAGAAAGCATTTAATAGTGTTGCCCAACAAAAACTATGGAATATAATGAAAGTAAATGGTTATTCTGAACATCTCATAAAAAACATTATAATTTTACATAGAGGCACAAAAATTATTAAAAATACTGGGACAAAGAAGACCAGAGAAATCTGAATAGAACAGGAACTTAAACAGGGTAGTTTATCTCCAACTCTTTTTAATATTTATGTAGATGACCTAATAAACAAATGGAAGTATGTTGTTAGTCCTGGAATACAGTTGAACAATAACAAACATCTAAATGTGATTCTTTACGCTGATGATGCAAGAAAGTGAAGAAGAATTACAAGAAGCTCTATACAGTCTACAAAAACTTAGTGAAAACGAGTATAATCTCCAAATATCTGAAACGAAGACTCAAGCTATGGTCCAACATGGTAAACATCCCATCTGCTCAGAAATAGTAACTGACAATACAGTAATTGATCTAATTCCCAATTTTAATTATCTTAGTTGTGATATTAGTTACAACTTAGACAAAGACATGGAAAATAAAATAAATAAATTTCAATCAGTGAGTGGAATAATAAACAAAACACTTGAGAATTAACCAAGAAGACTCAAAAATGAAATTTTTTAAGACAATGACTGCTTCGATTCTCCTGAATGGAAGTGAGTTATGGATAATGAAAAAGAAAGATCAAAGCAAAATTCAAGCAACAGAAATAAGATTTCTCAGGAAAACTGAAGGCTGCTTAAAACAAGACCATTTAAAACATGAAGATATTGATGAATTATAGAAGCATCAAGTTGAAAGAATAGATGAAGAGAGAATATCACAACTAGTGATGAAGTATCACCCAAAAGGACGAAGAGATGTCAGAAGACCCAGGAAGAGATGGTTTTAAAGTGCAAAAGAAGACGGAACAGGCACTAATGCCTAATCTTTGAATGGAGAAAGAAGAAGCAGTTACCAAAAAAGAAAAAAAAATATGTAAAATTAATCACATCAGTACAAGGAACTGCACAAAATAGTTTGAAAGCATTCTCGTATTTTGAAAAGGAACATACTATTTTCCCAGAACAAATTTATTGAACTTTTTCCTTCAGCTAAGCACTTTTCTCTCTGATAAGTAGATTTAATAAGTGGTAGTAAATAAGTAGAATTATTGTTTATTTCACCCTATTTAGAGAGACCATTATTAAACTGTTGTTACTAATTTGTTTAGCTCTCAGATTTCACTGTGAAAAGACCAATTTAACAATACATCTGAAATAAATGAAAATTCTGTCATAAAATAACACTGTTCCAATATTATTTGACGAATAATATTTCGTTTTAACTCAAAAATGTTCCCGAGTTCTAAAGATTCTTGCCAAAATATCCTGATTTTTCCCAAGAAATGAGTTCATACTTCTCCCAGTTGTCCAGAAAGTGGTCACCCTTTAAAACTAAGCATTAATATTAACAAAATTTTTAGAAATATGGCCAAGTCACACAAAAACTTTCATACATCTATCCACCCATATTTTATTGCATGCAACCATTTAGTTTGTTAATAAATATCCTCACTTAATACCTGCTCGAGCATTGGGAAATGTTTTCCTCATAAGTCCTCTAATTGACACCATTTCGGGAAGTACGTTGGGATGAGCAAGTACATGATCAAAATCCTTAATAAAAACATTGCCTTTCTGTAAAAAGTGAGAAAAAATGTATGTATTTTAAATGTTATATAACTTTTTTTTCTCTTAGTAAATCCATCAAAATTTTCTTAGTAAATCAAAATTCTTGCAATTTACTGAAAAAATTTAACTTTAAAAAATACCTCGATTTCTCTAATAAGACTAGAATCTCCCACTAAATTTGCTCCAGCTTCTTTGGCTTCATTCTGTAATTCACTTGTTTTGCAGAACACAATCACTGATCGAGGATCACCCATTGGAAAAGGATGGGCAACAGTTGCCAATCTTGAAAAATTATCCACAAATCGATTCTACAGAAAATGAAAGTCAACATGATTTATATGTCTATATGAGCCTCTATTTTTCACAATAATAAAATTACCTTTTTTGCAGCTGTCATGTCAAGTTCTATGTGGGCTTGGACATAAGAATCTGGTTGGTTATAAACAGTTGGATGATGAGTCTCCCTATGACATTGGATGGCTTCAGCAAAATCATATACTTTCCATCTATAATATTTAGTCACTACAACATCATCAATACAAGATGGTTTCAATTCCTCTTGTATGCGAGGGTGCACAGGTTGTACTGTAATTCTAAAAATGAATCGTATATTAAAGGATTTTTAGTAAACCAAAATAACTATGACAATACTGAAATGTTTCAAATACATTAATTATTTATAGATAACTCACCCTTTCAATTTTTTCCCCTTAGTTTTCTCTTCTGGTTTCTTTGAATTTTTTTTGGCCCTAAGCAATTTTAATCTTTTCTCCCTAGTTCCTCTACGTGCTGCATAGTCACGAACTTGAATGAAGTTAATATTTACGCGTGTCAAATTACTAGTAACCAATTGATATGACTTGAAATTGAAGAGTTTCATAAAATTTACTGAAACAAAAACATTATTGGTGCAGACCCGTAACCTAACACACAATGTTTCCAATCAAATTAGTGCCAAGAACACAATATGGACTGAAACTAATATAAACTTTATGTGCATATTTTATTCGGGCAACGAATTGTCTATTTTATATTTATATTGCATTAACATACGTATATTTAATTTCTAGTAATATGAGACATGCTCACCTGCACACGATGCCATTTTGTTTGATTTCGGCTCTTTTCGGAGAGCTTCGCGGGTCAACAACCAATCCAATGGAGGAAATTTTCTCCGACTTCTTTCAATAAATGGCGAAGTTGTGTTTGTCAAGATAGGTTTGTTTACTGTGAAATATCGCCAATATTTAATTACAATCAAGAGTTTGGCGTGTGTTCAGAGGTAGATGAAGGTGGGTGGTAGTCTGGCGAATTAATTTTTGATCTTCCTGTTAACCGTGCGAGTGATATTTACGCTACATTCCAACTGCGAAAACACTTTGCATGTATGATGGAATTGACAAGAAGGTGCCATCTGTGCCCCTTTCGTGTTTCATTAATTTTAATTTATCCTCTGAATCAAACTTATGTAGTGTGTAATAATTTAATATATTCGAGCAAGACCAGATACCGAAATATTCGTTTGTTCGTTCATCCAGTAATGGTAGAACATCATCTATTGCCAACTCTACATGCAATTAGTCTTCAGTGTACAATCATGTTATTCATGATGTTTTTGTGTTAATAAGGGAATAGTAAGAGCTGTTATCACGCAATACAATGTAGAAATAATTGTAGTTCTCAAATAAACAGTAGATATTGGTAATTTGTCTTGAAGAATATTGTAAGACCCATAAATGTAGTAGAATATTTATTGAAGCTTATTTTCCAAGATATTTGTTTAAAATAGTAAATAATGCTAGTATATAACTTTTAAATCACTATATATTATATTTTAATGCAGTAAATAGTTAATTTTGTGTTTTGAATATTACTACTACTCATTTTGACATGAGCAATGTGCTAAATTCATATTTTGTTGCATTGTACATTCACACTCCTTTCTATTTGTTATTGTATTTAAAACATTAACATTGGTGTATTAGAGAGCATATAACACATTAAAGAAAGAAAAGAATGAATTGGTGATTTCAGGAATTCTGTTAATTTCAGTAATTCTTCGTGTTATACATTACTGTAATGTTTTACCATAAATAAGAACTAAACTCTGCTTCTTAACAACATCAGAATTTTATGTTTTTACAATTTTTTAAACCCATTTCGTATTAGTTTGTTGAAAAGGAAATTAATGCCAGTCATTAATAGAAAATTTTTATTCGTAATAATTATTGACCTTGCTAATCAGCACATTATTATTGGTTTAAAATAACTTGTTTGAAAACTAAAAGTGATGTCCGTTTAAATTCATTTTTCTTCAAAGCTAAATATAATTTGAGGTTAGTTAAATCAACATTAAAGACAATTTTCAGTTCATCAGTGAACTTGAATTTGTTTTAAGGCATTTGTATAGGTTATTTTGTGTTTGACAATTCTTTTCTCATGGAGAGTGTTTCAGAATAAAATTGGTTGGAGTAATTGTTTTTACTGGAAATAAATTATTCTTTTGAAATTAGAGTATGCATCTGAAGTAGTTTGTAAAATTGCACGTCTCTGTATTTAAAATGGTTACTGGTTTATAATGGATAAGGAATAAGACAGGTTCAGTTCATAGGTAACTTTCAAGAATATAAATTCATTACGTGAAGTTTGTGGGATATAAAGTATATTAAAACTGTAGGTTCATGATTTGATCGAAATATTTGCTTATTAATAATATTATTATTATTTATATAAAGTTTGTATATTAAGTGTCTTTTTATTGTTTGGAGGTCAACAAATGTTATAATGAAAGTTTCTAGCTTTGTATTATTTTAATTATTTATTGTATACTGTATTACGGATCTAATTTTGCACAGAAAGATTATAGCCCTTGCTTCAGAACCAGTTATTCAAACATTTTAGGATAAAAAAATTTAGTTTGTTCTTGAATGTTGTTATGGGTTTTAACCAAGTACTTGATTTGAGATTACTTCATCTTATTTATTAATTTTCATCTCCTGTGTGTGATAGTTATGGCTTCTTAACCTTTCATTGAACATTGTGATTCTGAATAATTTGAAAGCATTTTCATAAGTTTTTATTTCTCCTTGAGCAATGATTTCACCTCTTTCTCTTCCTTTTCCCTCTTTTTCTTCTGAATTTTGCTATCTCTTCCTCTTCTCCTTTCTTTCTTTCCTTCCGAGGCATTCTTTTAATTGTTCTGTATTTTGTATGTGACTTCTTACATAAAATGTAATCACAGTCATTTATACAAAAAGCTGTGACACAATGAGTAAACTAGAATTTCGGCTTTCTTTTTGTTTCCTTTGATGTCCTTTGTATAATTGTATTGCACTCATTTTATTTTTCTCTTAATTTTTGTTAATTTTTTTTGCATTTCTCTAGGATTTAGCATGTCTCGCAACCACAAGGACAAGTATGAAAACTGTAATCCGCGTCGTGCACACACCATCATGTCCGCGGAGGACGCAGCTGCTGGAAAGAAATCTCATTGGCCGGAACTGGAGATAACAGGTTTGATATTCTTTTGAAGCTGTGAAATAAAAATGCATTTTCTCCAAGTTTTAATGTAAACCTAGTTTGATCATCTGATACTTCATTGCATTAAACAATTCTTTTCGTTTTGATACCTCTGACCCAATTTGTGTTTATTCGTCTTCATTGTTTGGAGTCAGCTGTTACCCCCTAGTTCTATTACTGCAACTCAGGTTTTCTTCTTATATCAAATTAACACAATTCTCTATGTTGAAAGAGATTCTGAAATAAAAATTAGTTGGAATGCCAGTTTATTTAGGTTACAGAGTAGTTATATACCTATTTTGATTTTACCAGTTCTGGATATATGTTTTTTGAGGATGTTTGTCATTTCACTTGGAAATAACTGACAATGTATGTTAACTTACTTAAGTTTATTTAGAAATAACTTGCATAGTTAATTAATTTTCATTGTAATTTAATTTCCTTCTTTTTGTTTTTAAATTTAGGGACTATCCGGAATTTAAGCCCAAATTTGTGGCAGCTCACTCATCTCACTTCTTTGTACCTGAATGACAACTGCCTTTCTCGCATCCCGCCGGACATCTGTCGTCTGGTGAACCTGCGCGCGCTCGACCTGTCCAGCAATAAGCTGCGCAGCCTGCCTGCTGAGCTGGGCGAGCTCATCTACCTCAGGTATTGCACAATATCTGTTGTTGTTATGTTGTTTTTTTTACAGGAAAAACAATCTTTCTTTGGAGATGACAAGGATGGCTGAATAATTTCTAAAGCCAATAATTAGACTGTTAACTATCAAATTCTACGTTCATAATTTGAATTTAAAGTGGTTAAATACATTGTGTTATATTGAAAATCAGACCATTTTACTCATATAAACAGGGTCCGAATTTTATATTTATTACTATATTTTCGGTTGTAATAAAACACAAAAGTTTTAAATACATATTGTAAGTTTTCTTCGTTTCAAATTTCTTGTATGATTTTAATAAACTTTTTACTGTGAAAATGGTTTTAGCATTATTCCGTAGTATGTTACAGAGTCTTACACATGTAAACACAATTATTGTACATATCACACACCACTATTGTTGGTGGATTTATTGTAATAAAATTTTCTTTAAGTGTCTTCAGAAATTTAATTGATTTGAAAAAAATGTTTTACATACTAATATTAATAAATCATGACTTATCTTTTCTGTAGAAGTATACAATAAGCTTTTAATTTGAATGAGAAAGAATAAAAAATAGCATGGCATTAGTCTACTTATTTTTGCCTACAACTTAAAATGGTGTCAAATTGTTATACTCAGACATTGTCAATATTAAAAAAGTTAGTAGGATTGCTTTAAAATGTTTTATCAATGGATTGTAAATCCCAGAATAGCACTGTTACATTTGTGTTCACATATTCATTCTTGTTCAAATTTACTAGCACTCGTTATTAAAGCATTATTTAATTTAATTCATTAGCCACCAACCTTGGGTCTTCCCAAATTTGACCCAAGGCAATTTGTTCATTTTAAACTATGCCCCAATTGATTTGATTTCCTGTTTATCAGACAGTGCTCAGTGGGGTTGCTTTACCTTCTAATTTGTTAAAAAAATTTACCTTGCCAATTAAGAACTGCTTATGTGTACAGAATAACTTGTTTGACCCAAGGGTTGTAGAACTTTAAATACAGTTTCACGTACATACATTCAGTAGAATTTCAGAAGACTGTTTTTAGAAACGGTAGACTCCATTAGGTTGAGAATGAACTTGAGAATTTAAGATGGGCTTTGCATCCTTCCACTACAATTTTAGAACTTGTTACAACATTGGTTGGTGTTAAAGCCATACAAGACAGAAGAGAGAGGGGTATCCAAGTAAGAAAAATGGAAGATTAAGTGCCTTCTTGGAAATTTAAAACATTGGAAAGCAAAGAGGAATTTAATTACCATACAGCAACACATCTTTATTGAATTTTATTCCATTTTAACTCATCTTTAATCATACGAGGTGTTTATTCTTAGGTTGCAGTTTACTGTTTTACAGATATAGAGGTACAGATAGTTTTTTTCCTTTTGAGCATAAGCTAGTGACTAACTTATTCCCCTTCTCTTCCTTTCTCTGCTTTTCCCTGTACTCAGACTTTCTGCATTCTCCAACTTTTCCATTTCTTTTTTTTCTTTTAACTGTTACTTTCGTCACTGTTACCCATATCTCTCATTTACATTCATCCCTTTCCAAATTTCTCTATTCATTTATTTTCATTTAAATGTATTTTACCCATTTTCAATTTGTCTATCTACTCATATTTCTCAAACTACTTTTTCACCCCTCGCCATTTCTGTTTCTTATCTCCCTAACTTCCTTCTCTCCAGTTACTGTTCTTCCCCACAAACCTCCACAGTAACCTTTTTTCCCATTTAACCAGGAACAGTCCCCATTCTGCATACTCCCATTTCCCATGTCTCCTCTCACATTCCGCCTCGCTTGCTTCTTTTTTCTCCTGCCCCTTTTTTCCACGCATCTCTCCATTCTGACTCTCGTCTTTGTCACTACCTTCAGTTCCCCTTCCTCCTCTCTATCTTTTTCTCTCTCTGATCTGTCACCCTTTTACAATTTCTTCTGTCTATTGTTTCACCTTTTTGTCTTCCTTTCTATTTTTCTTTTTCCCCTCTCTTTTTTTCTCTTCTCATCTCTCTGTTCTACGGTTTATTGCATTTGTCATTCTTCACATCTTCACACCCCTTCCTTCTGCTACTCTGCCCACCTTCCCCTTCTCCCTCTTTTCTTATCTCTCCCTTCTGTGATTTTTTTAAACCTCTCGCTTCTGTTCCTTTTTTCGTCTCTCTTTTCCATCTTCCCATTGCTTATGACCATCTTCCCATTTATGTCTCTCTTCACATCTCTCTCTTCAGCCTTTCTGCCATTAATTTAGTCTCTCTCTTCAGTCCTTTATTCATTCCCTCATCTGTCAATCATCCACTTTCTCTCTTTGTCCTTCATTCAGTCTCCCATCTACCCTTATTCCTGTCTCTCTCTACTGTTCCAATCTATCTTTTCTCTCCAAACTCTCTCTTCTGCCAAACGCTTCCAAATGCTCTTGCCCCTCTCCCAATCCCACTGTTCTGTCCCTTGCCCCAATCATTATCTTGTCCCCTCTTTTAATTTATCTTCTGTTCCCCCTCCTAATATTTCTCATCTGTCCCCTCTCCAATTCTTTCTTTTATCTCTTCAAATCCCTCTTCTCTTCCCTTCCCTATTTCCTTCACTTTCCTTTTCTCCGTTTATCTTTTTGTCCTTTCCCTCTCTTACCTCCTTCCTTTTCTTCCTCTTCCCAATTAAATCTCATTCTTTTACTTCTGGATTATTGTAGCACAAGTAAAAGTGTACTGATTTAAACTTTCCCCCATTTATCACAGTTTTTTTTACAGATTTTGAAGAGAAAAAATCAAATTAATTTTTCCCCTTATTTCCCTATACATGTTTCCACATGCCTTGTCTCCTTCTTCCCAAGACTCCCTATCTCATAGTTTCTCTCTTCCCTTCACTTACATCCATTGTCTTCCCCCTCCCTCGTCTCCCTCCTCCCTTGCCTTTCTCATCTTTTGTCTCCCTCTTCCCTTGTCCCGTACTTTCTTCTTCCGTGGTCTTGGCTCTCCCATGCCATCACCCCTTTGCCACTCTCCAATGTTGTCACCTCCTCCATGGTCTCCATCCTATTTTGCTTCTTCATTCTTTGTTTCTCTTTACCCATGTCTCCCTCTTCTCTTGTCTGTAAATCCTGTGTCTGCTTCAATTGTCTCTTACATTTGACCTCCCTTGTCTCTGTCTCTTGTTCCCCTTTCTTTTCCTTCCTCATTCTTTTCTCTTTTCTCCCTCTTCTCCATCTTACCTCTGTCTTCCCTTCTCTCTTCTCTTGTCTTCCTATCCCCTACTCTCCCGCTTCCCCTTTCTCTTACCTTTGTCTTCCCTTGGCCCTTCCTCTCTTCTCGTCCCCCTCTTGCCTTGTCCCCTGTTGTATCCATGTTCTTTTGTGTTTCTCTTTCATAGTCTTCCTCTTACCTTCTCTCCCTCTTTCAATCACTGTTTTAGGTCCCCTCCTTTCCCATCTCTTCTCTCCCTCTTCCCAATTCTCTCTTTTCTTTCCCTTCTCTCCCTCTCCCATTACTCTTCTCCCCTTCTCTCTATTTCCTCTCTCTATTTCATTCTCTCTTTCATTCTCACTCTCTCTATTTCATTCTCACTCTCTCTATTTCATTCTCTCTCTCTATTTCATTCTCTCTCTCTATTTCATTCTCTCTCTCTATTTCATTCTCTCTCTCTCTATTTCATTCTCTCTCTCTCTATTTCATTCTCTCTCTCTCTCTATTTCATTCTCTCTCTCTCTCTATTTCATTCTCTCTCTCTCTCTCTCTCTATTTCATTCTCTCTCTCTCTCTTTCTTTCCTGCCCTGATCTACACTTCTCCCCCATATGTCACATACAACCTTTATTGTTTAATATGAAAATAAATTCAAATAACTTTCCATTGCCTCCCTCTTCCCAGGTTTCCCACTTTCCTCCTCCCCTTAACTCCTTCTCTTATCTTCGTTTGTCTCCCTCTTCTTTTTCCTCTCTCTTCCCGTGCCTCCTACTTTCCTCTTTGCCCATCGTTCACATCTCTCTTTTTGCCCATATTTCTCTTATCTCTCCTACTTCTGTCACTTTTTGACCATCTTTCTCTCCCTCTTCTCGATTTTGCCCATTTTTTCATCACTCTCCCACTTCTGTATTTTGTCAATTTTGTCATCTCTCTCCCACTTCCCCGTTTTGGCCATTTTCTCTTCTCTCTTCCACTTCTCTCTTTTTCCCATTTTCTCCCCTATTTCTGCTTATCTTTCTCTTTTCTCTCAGCCCACAATACACCATCTCTCCATCTTTCTCTCCCTCTTTCATATTTCTTGTGTCTTCTTCCATATCTTTATTCTTGTCTCTCTCCTCCATTCCTTCTTGACCCATGTCTTAGTGTTTTATTTCATCCCTTTTTTCAGTTTTTTCTCAACCCCTGTTTTTTCATCTCTTTCCCTTTACTTTCTCGACTTGCTAAGTACTTAGTAAAAAGTAATGTAATGCTGCGCCGAAAATTGGAGATTTTTCGACAGAAAATATCGCATTGTGGGCCTGGTATCAAAAAAAGGACAAATCTTTCTTCCATGTTTAGCGAATTACTGCTTTCCAACACGTTTTGTGGTCAGAAACCCTTTTGTATGTCCTTCATACCGCTTGATTGTTTGACGACAAAACGACTAACCTACCGTACGTCCTTCCATGGTCAAGGCTGTCGTCTAAACCGTTAGGTGATATTTTTCAATATTGATACTCCCCAATAGATCTGGGTGATCTCGAGAACCTGATATTTTTATTTTGAAGGGTATTTTATAGTGAGCCTCAACATTTTAAAAATGTTCTAAAAAATGGCCAAATGTTTTCATTAAACTTTTTGTTCTGACGACATTGAAAGAAATGGCGCGGCCTCGTTTTCGACATTACGATTTTTTCTATATTCCAAAAGTTAACATTTTTTCGCGTCTTCGTACAGCTATAATAATGTAGATAGTGATATTTTCCTTTACAAAATGTGCTCTTAAAGAGCAATATTTTCGAAAATTTCACAAAATTAAAATTTTTAATAAAAAAAAGAGAAACTTGAACTTTGAGCATATAATTTTTTGCCTTTCATGATGCGACTTACATAAAGAAAAACATTCAAAATCGGCTTTTCGTGAGTTGAAGCAGAAGTCCTTCAATAATTGCTCAGGTCCCATTTTCGGGGAATTTCTTTACTTTCGAAAAGTAAAACTACGAAATATATGATAGAAATTCTTTCTTATGGAATTTGTTCTTTAAAACAAATCTTGAAATTTTTATGAAACAATCTGAATTTTTGAAAATTGCGAATGCAATTGCCCAACTTTGTTTACAAAGTACAAAGGAAGGTTGAGTTTAGCTATGATGCTGGTTGTGTAGGAATATTGCGAATGGAGTGCCACCTCTAACAACCCCTGTTTGAAATCCTACTCGTGGAAAAAAATATCCTAGATGGAAACACTTTTATATTTTAATATTGTATGGCCTTCATAAATAATGCGAGAAAATGTGCT